GTATGGATGTACTATAAATTTACTTAGCTACTTCCTTTCTGATGAACAGTTAGCCTGTTTTGGGTTTTCACCACTACATACCTACACGGCAGGTGTAACAGATTTTAAATGACCTAGAAATAAAGATGCAAAGGAGAAACAAAGTACTTGAGAATTTCTGGATAAAATTTTTGACGACCTACCTGTAAAAAGATCATTGAAAACTGCTCAATGATGCACTATTTTTTGGGTCTGATTTCTTTTGCTCAGTATTATGTTTAAGAGACTAATTCATGTTGCTACATCTAATTATTGCAAAGTATTTCAAGGTACGAATATACCACAAATTACTTATCTACTATGGATAGAACTTGGGTTGCTATTTGGGGTTATTACAATACTGTAATACCACAAACATTCCTCTTCATGTCTTTTGTTAAATATAAGTATGCTTATATTGGATATAATAACTAGAAGTGGAATTACCGGGTCCATAAGGTATGCTTGTGATGAACTTCACTAGATAATGCCAGCAGTTTTCCTAAGTTTCTATACCACTTAACTCTCTTATCAGTAAAGCACTAAAGTTACTTCATATCCTCATCAACACTTGATCCATCTTTTTCATTTTAGTTCTTTTGATAGATGTATAGTGGTTGTTTTAATTTGCATTTCCATGATGGACAATGAAGTTGGGTATCTATTACATGTTCACTGGCCATTTAGATTTCCTCTTTCGTAAAATGCCTGTTCAATTCTTTATTCCCTTTTGTATTTGCTTATTTGCCTTTCTCTCAATGGTTTATAGAAAATCTTTATATATCATGATCATGTGTCTTTGGATATGTTGTTGTTGTTGTTAGGTGACGTCGAGTCATCTCCAACTCATAGCCACCTTACGTACAACAGAATGAAACACTGCCCGGTCCTGTGCCAGCCTCATGATCCCTGCTATACCTGAGCCCATCGTTGAAGCTACTGTGTTAATCCATCTTGCTGAGGGCCTTCCTTCACCTTTTTCTCTGACCCTCCACTTTACCCAGCATGATATCCTTCTCCAGATAATGGTCTCTTCTGACAGCATGACCAAAGTAGATGATACAAAGTCTGGCCATTCTTGCTCTGAAGAAGCATTCCAGCTCTACATCTTCCAGAACAGATTTGTCAGTCCTTTTAGCAGTCTATGGTACTCTCAGTATTCTTCACCAGCACCATAAGTCAAAAGCATCAACTCTTCTTCGATCTTCCTTATTCATTGTCTAGCTCTCACACGCATACAAGGTGAATGAAAATACCATGGCTTGAGTTAGGCACGCCTTAGTCTTCAAGGAGACATCTTTGCTCTTCAGCACTCGATAGAGGTCTTTTGCATCAGATTTGCCCAATGCAATACATCTTCTGATGTCTTGACTGCTGCTTCCATTGGTGTTGACTGCAGAATTAAGTAATATGAAGTCTTTGACAACTTCAATCTTTTCTCCATTTATCGTGATGCTGCTTATTGGTCCACTTGTGAGGATTTTTGTTTTCTTTATATTGAGGTACAATCCATACTGTAGACTGCAGTCTTTAATCTTCATCAGTAAGTACTTCAAGTCATCCTCACTTTCAGCAAGCAAAGTTGTGTCGTCTGCATATCATAGGTTGTTAATGAGTCTTCTTCCAATCCTGATGCCACATTCTTCTTCGTATAGTCCAGCTTTTTGGATTATTTGCTCAGGATACAGATTGAATAAGTATGGTGAAAGGATACAACCCTGATGCACTCCCTTCCCGATTTTAAACCATGCAGTATCCTCTTGTTCTGTTTGAATGACAGCCTCCTGGTCTATGTACAGATTCTTCATGAGTACAATTCAGTGTTTTGGAATTCCCATTCTTCTCAATGTTATCCACAATTTGTTATGATCCACACAATTGAATACTTTTGCATAGTCAATGAAACACAAGTAAACATCTTTCCGGTATTCTTTGCTTTCAGACAAGATTCATCTGACATCAGAAATGATATCCCTCATTTCACATCCTCTTCTGAATCCAGCTTGCATTTCTGCCAAGTTCTCTGTAAATATACTGTTGCAACCATTTTTGAATCACTGTAAGATTTTACTTGCATGTGGTATTAATGATATTGTTTGATAATTTTCACGTTCTATGAGATCACCTTTCTTTGGAATGGGTACAAATATGGATCTCTTCCAGTCAGTTGGGCAGGTAGCTGTCCTCCAAATCTCCTGGCATAGCCGAGTGAGTGCCTCCAGCAGGCATCCATTTGCTGAAACAGCTCAATGGGTATTCTGTCAATTCCTGGAGCCGTGTTTTTCACCAATTCCTTCAATGCAGTCTTGAGCTCTTCCTTCAATACCATTGGTTCTTGATCATATGCCGCCTCCTGAAATGGATGATCATCTACCAATTCTTTTTGGTACAGTGACTCAGTGTATTCTATCCATTTTCTTTTGATGTTTCCTGCATCATTCAACATACTGCCCATGGAATCTTTCAATACTGCAATTTGAGGCTTAAATTTTTTCCCCAGTTCTTTTAGCTTGAGAAATGCTGAGCATATTCTTCTCTTCTGGTCTTCTAACTCCACACCTTTGCACATTTCATTATAATAATTGACTTTGTTTTTTCGAGCTGCTCTTTGAAATCTTCTGTTCAGGTCTTTTATACTGTCAATTCTTTCATCTGCGTTAGCTACACTTCTTCCAAGGGAAACTTTCAGAGTCTCCTCTGACATCCATTTTGGTCTTTTCTTCTTTTCCTATCTTTTTAATGACCTTTTGCTTTCTTCATGGATGATGTTCTTTAATCACATTCTGCAACTGATCCGGTTTTCAATCACTGGTGTTCAATGCATCAAATCTTTTCTTTAGATGGTCTCTAAATTCAGGAGGGATATAATCAAAGTCATATTCTGCCTCTCATGGATTTCCTATAATTGTCTTCAGCTTCAATTTGAACTTGCATATGAGCAGTTGAAGGTTTGTTCCACAATCAGATCCTGGCCTTGTTTTGGCTGAAGATATTGAACTTCTCCATCGCTTCTCACCACAGGTACAGTCAATCTGATTCCTGAGTACTCCATTTGGCAAAGTCCATGTATATAGCCACTGTTTGCGTTGCCGAGGAAAGGTATTTGCAATGAGTAGTAAGTCACCGATCTTGCAAAATTTTATTATGCAATCTCCAGTGTCATTTCTATCACCAAGGTCATATTTTCCAACTACCAGTGATTCTTCTTTGTTTCCAACTTTTGCATTCCAATCACCAATGATAATTAACTCACCTTCATTGCATGTTCAGTCAATTTCAGACTGCAGAAGTTGGTAAAAAACTTCAGTTTTCTCATCTTCGGCTTTTGTGCTTCATGCATAAATATGAATAACAGTAGTATTAACTGGTCTTCCTTATAGGCCTATGGATATTATCCTATCACTGACAGCATTGTACTTCAGGATAGATCTTGAAACATTCTTTGTGATAATGAATACCATGCTATTCCTCTTCAATTTGTCATTCCTGGCAAAATAGATCATATGACTGACTGATTCAAAATGGCCAAAACCAGTCCATTTCAGCTCACTAATGCCTAGAATATATATTTTTATGCCTTCTATTTCATTTTTGAGAACTTCCAATTTTCCTAGATTCATACTTCATACATTCTGGGTTCCGATTATTAATGGATGTTTGCAGCTGTTTCCTCACATCTTGAGATGTGCCACATAGCAAATGGAGGCCCCAAAAGCTTTACTCCATCCACATCATTAAGGTTGGCTCTACTCTGAGGAAGCAGCTCTTCCTCAGTCATTCTTTGAGTGCCTTCCAACCTGAGAGGCTCATTTTCTTGCACTATATTGCACAATGTTTCAGGCTATTCATCAAGTTTCCCAGTAACGTATCAGACAGTGTTTCACTGGTATTCGTAAGGTTTTCACTGGCCAATTCTTTGAGAAGTGGATGGCCTCCTCCTTCTTCTGAGTCTGTCTTAGTCTGGAAGCTCTGCTGAAACTGGTTCACCATGGGTAAACCTGCCAGCATTTGAAACACCACTGGTATAGCCTCCAGCCTCATAGCAACATGTAAGCCACCAGAGTACGACAAACTGACAGACAAATTTGTCTCCCTTAGCCGTTCTGAACTGCTCTGAACACTTCCTCCCTCAGCCACTCCAAACTGCTACTCTTCCTTAGACCTGCCAAACTTGCTGGCTTGCTTCCCAGCATACCCCAGCCTTCCAACACCTGCCTGCCATGCCTGGCTTGTTTACCCAGCTTGTTCCAGGTGCTCTGACACCTGCCAGCCGTACCTACCTAGTTTACCTGGCCTGCTCCAGGTGCTCCAACACCTATCTTCCATGCCCTGCTCATTACCTAGCCTGTCCCAGGTGCTCCAATACCTGCCTGTCACATCCAGCTCAATTACCTGAGCAATATAGGTATTTCAAATATTTTTGGGTTCCTTTTTTGCTCTTAATCTTTATATTGGCTCTGATGAACAGAAGTTCTAAATTTAATGTGGACCAACTTATCAATTGTTTCCCTTACAGTTAATGCTTTTTATGTCCCACTTAAAAAATCTTTGCCTACCCTTAGTCATAAATACATTCACCTATGTTTTCTTCTAAAATGTTCATATTTTACCTTTCACATCTACATTCATAAAAAACACACAATTACGAGTGGTATTTGAATTTAATGCTATATGCCAATGTCCTGCCTTATTGAGCCTGAGCACAAGCTAAGGTGTCAAAATTTTTATTATATTCTGGAGGTGTTAAGTTTTGATCTACCCTGCAAAAATGACCATATATATGCCACAAGGAGAGACAGCATGCAATATAAAAATATTACCTAGGAGTATAAATGTGTGAAGTACAGGAGAAGGTATTAGATTGAAGTATGTGAAATTTTCACTATTAAACTGTTTATGACCAATAAAAATGGTAGTTTTATATAGTTTGGTATGAACAATACTAAAAAAAAAAAGAAAATTCAACAAGAAGGTGATCTTACCTGAGAAGTTCCTTCTTATTGATCAAAGCTTTCATATATTCTGAGAGTTTCTTTTGCATTAATGCCAAACGCAGCCAGGCTCTTCCTCTGCCTACTGGTGTCCTAGAAAAGCACAGAAACCAAAACTAAAAATACAAGCAACAGAAGCAGGGGCCACAGTGAAATACAGATTCACTTACTCTTTCTAATGGTCTCCCAGTGTAACATGCACACTGAGGGACTCCTCACCATCTTTCCAAACATATTGCTATGTGAGGAATTTTGTGTGGGCTGTGACACCCAGAGCTATGTTTGGAACAAATGTGCTTGAGAAGAATTAACTACTGAATGAGATTATAATTTGAAGACAAGATCTTCTGGAGACCCAAGTGAAAATGTTCCATATAAATACACAGACACTAACGCAGAGAGCCTATTTAGGCTTCTATCTGATTAAAACTAAACCAAACTAATTTGGGAAGGTGATCACCACCCCTTTTCAAGTTCAAGACAAATTCCAGGTGTCAATTCCTGAGGTTCATTCAGCAACAGTGTTAGTCTGGCTCTCAAACCACACCTAATATATCCTTTTTTTCTAATCAGGTCCAGAATGCCACCTCCCTAGATCTAACTTCTTGAGAATCACTAATTTTCACCAGTAGCATTGAAAACAACCACCACCACCACCACCACCACCAAAACTATTTAGTATTTCAAAATAAGACAATTATTCTTAGATTAACAATTAATTACCCCTCAAAGGCATACTTTTCTGAATATTTTATATTTCCAATTCTCTCATAACAATGCCTGTTAATAATAACACTATACATTTTGGATTATCAGGCAATAAATTATTGTAATCATTGTTACCTTTAGTCTTACTCTTCAAGGAGACAGTTATTCTTTTGTTATTTCTAAGAAACAATTAAATCTTAAACTTACTTAAGTCCTGGAAGATCTTTAACACTTGCTGTTATCTCTGCAGCTTCTGGAACAAGTTTTTCTACCAGTTCTAGAGGCCCCCAGAAGGATTTATTTTGTCCAAGAAAAGTTTTCTTGGCTAAGGCAACAAAAACAAAGCAGTATTTTATTTCTATATTCTTTACAATATTAACACTCCTTCAGTACACACACAGACACCTCCTATCTATTCAATGATCTCAGGAAACTAATCCTAGATATTAGACAGTTCTTAAATTAGTCATGCTTTCAAAATAAATGTTATTTGTGAAAATTTAAGCATCATAATCACTAATTTTTTATGTTATTAAAAAATATGCTCCTGATAATGTGCACAAATGGTGTCATATTTGAAATTAACTAATGGAACTTGCTTTTTTTTTTTTTAAATTGTGATTTGGGTGAAGATTTACAGAGCAAATTCACTTTCCATACAGCAGTTCACATATACTTTCTCTCAAGTCACTGACCACAGTTTACCACAATGTAACAGCTCCCCTCCCACATCCTCCCCATAGTTACCTCTTCCCTGTGTCTATCCCTCCATACACTCCTGCCCCCTGAGCTGTCTCCCTGTGCATAAGCAGCCCATCTTTCTCCCATGATTTGGAACTTGCTTTTAAAACACATTTTGAGGATGAATATTTTGTAAATAACAGCTTCTTCTTGTTGTTTGTTGTTAGGTGCATCAAGTCAGTTCCAACTCATAGCAACTCTACAACAGAATGAAACACTGTTTGGTCTTGCATCATCCTTACAACTGTTGCTTTGTTTGAGTCCACTGTTGTAGCCACTGTTTAATCCATCTCATTGAAGGTCTTATTTCGCTGACTCTCTACTTTTTAACACATGATGTTCTTCCCCAGGGATGACTGGTCTGTCCTGATAACAGGCTTAAAGTATGTGAGACAAAGTCTTGCCCTCCTTGCTTCTAAGGAGAATTCTGGCAGCACTTCTTCCAAGACAGATTTATTCATTCTTCTCACAGTTCATACTTTCCCAACACCATAATTCAAATACATCAGTTCTTCTTCTTCACTCTTCCGAATGCCTGTTTAGCTTTCACATGCATATGAGGTGACTGAAAATACAACTGTTTGGGTCAGGTGAACCTTAGTCCTTGTCTTAGGCTTGGCTCTCTAGAGAAGCAAAACCAGTGAAACTTATATATGTATATGTATAGAGACTGTCTGTCAGTTTGTCATCCTGTGGCGGTCTGCATGCTGCTGTGAGGCTGGAGGCTATGCCACTGTTGTTGCAAATGCCAGCAGGGTTACCACGGTAGACAGGTTTCAGCAGAGCTTCCAGACTAAGACAGGCTCAGAAAAAAGAAGAGGCCATCCATTTCTCAAAGAATTAGGTGGTAAAAAACTTATGAACAGCAGTGAAACACTGATACAGCGCTGGAAGAAGAGCTCGTCAGGTTGGAAGGCACACAAAATATGACTGGGGAAGAGCTGACTCCTCAGAGTAGAGATGATCTTAATGATATGGATGGAGTTTTTGGGACCTACACTGGCTGATGTGGCACAACGCAAAATGAGTAGAAACAGCTGCAAACATCCATTTATAATTGGAACATGGAATGTACAAAGTATATATCTAGGAAAATTGGAAGTTTTCAAAAATGAAATGGAAGGCATAAAGATTGATATCCTAGGCATTAGTGAGCTGAAACGGATTGGTTTTGGCCATTTTCAATCCGACAACCATATGCTCTACTATGCTGGCAATGACACATTGAAGAGGAATGGCGTGGCATTCATCATCACAAAGACTGTTTCAAGTTCTACCCTGAAGTACAATGCTGTGATAGGATAATATCCACATGCCTACAAAGAAGACCAGTTAATCCTACTATTATTCAAATCTATGCACCGACCACCAAAGCCAAAGATGAGGAAATTGAAGATTTCTACCAACTTCTGCAGTCTGAAATTGACCCATGCAATCAAGATGTGCTGATTATCACTGGTGACTGGAATGCCAAAGCTGGAAACAAAGAAGAGTCACTGATGGTTGGAAAATATGGTGGTGGTGAAAGAAATAATGCTGGAGATTGTATGACAGAATTTTGCAAGACCAATGACTTAATAATTGCAAATACCTTTTTTTAGCAACATAAACAACTGCTATACATGTGGACTTCACTGGATGGAATACTCAGGAATCAGATTGACTACATGTGTGGCAAGTTCAATATCTTCAGCCAAACCAAGGCCAGGAGCTGATTGTAGAACAGACCATCAGCTGCTCATAAAATTTAAGCCTCACATTGCAATACTGAAAGATTCTATGGGCAAAATATTGAATGATGCAGGGAACATCAAAAGAAGATGGAAGGAATACACAGTCATTGTACCAAAAATAATAGGTCAATGTTCATCCATTTCATGAGGTGGCATACGATCAAGAACCAATGGTACTGAAGGAAGAAGTTGAGGCTGCACTGAAAGAATTGGCGAAGAACAAGGCTCCAGTAATTGATGGATATGGATGTGGATGTGGATGCTTGTTAAAGCCATTTACCCATTTGTGGTATTTTTCTGTTAGAGCAGCACTAGAGAACCAAAGCAGTATTTAATTGATTTCTTTACCCTTCCTTTCAAAGCCCAGGGCTCCAGGATTATCTTCTATATCTGTTTCAATTGGTTTCTCGTTTCTTTGTTGAAGAGGGTCTGTCTGTGTAGCTTGTCTGCTATTCCACCATCTCTCTGAAAGTTCAACATGTGACTCTTAACTAGCAAGCAATTTTCCCTTCCCTCCTCTCCCATCCTTAGTAGCCAGCAAAGACACTTGCCTTCCCTGTGTAAACTTTTCCTTGACTTTTTATAATAATGGACTCATATATTATTTGTCCTTCTGTGATTGACTTATTTAACTCAGCATAATGTCCTCCAAGTTCATCCATGTTACGAGGTTGTAATAGATTCTTCATTATTCTTTAATATTGCACAGTATTCCTTTGTGTGTTTGTACCATATGGTCTTTGCAATGTTATCCATAATTAGTCAGGATCTACACAGTTGAATACCTTTTCATAGTCAATAAAACTCAAGTAAACATCTTTCTGGTATTCTCTGCTTTCAATCAAGACTCACCTGACACCAGCAATGATATCTCTTGTTTCCATATCTTCTTCTGAATCTGGCTTGAATTTCTGGCAGTTCCTTATTAATGTACTGCTACAACTCTTTTTGAATTATCTTCAGCAAAACTATACTTGCATTTGATATTAATGATATGTTCAGTAATTTCCACATTTTGTTGGATCACTTTTCTTTGGAATGGGCACAAGTATGGATCTCTTCCAGTTGGTTGGCCAGCTAGCTGTCTTTCAAATTTCTTTGCACAGACAAGTAAGCATTTCCAGCATTGCATCCATGTGTTGAAATACCTCAATTGGTACCCTGTCAATTTCTACAGGCTTATTTTTTGCCAATGCCTTCAGTGCAGCCAGGACTTCTTCCTTCAGCGCCATCAGTTTTTGATCATATGGCTACTTCCTGAAATGGGTGAATGCTGATCAGTTCTTTTCAGTACAGTGACTCTGTGTATTCTTTTTATCTTCTTTGGATGCTTCCTGCATTGTTCAATTTTTTGCCCACAGAATCCTTCTTCAATATTACAACCTGACGATTGAATTTTTCATCAGTTTTTTCAGCTTGAGAAATGCTCAATGTATTCTTCCCTTTTGGTCTTCTAATTCCAAGTCTTTGAACATTTCATTATAATAATTTACACTTTGTCTCCTTTGAGCTGCCCTTTGAAATCTTCTGTTCAGCTCTTATATGTCATCATTATTTCTGTTTGCTTTAGTTATTCTACTATTTTTAAAATTTATTTTATTATGTTATTTTTTTAAAATGCATTTTATTGAAATGTAATTTATGTATAGTGAAATATTCAAAACTAAAGTGACATAGGTCAATGCATTTTTTTCTTTTTTTGTAGGGTTCCCTCCCCTCCCCTTCCACCCCTGACAACCAACAAATAAAGTTTCCCTCCATATATAAACCTTTCCTTGACCCTCCACAACAATGAACTAATACTATCTTTGTCCTTCTATGATTGACTTATGTCACTCAGCATAATGTCCTCCAAGTTCATCCATATTATGCGGTATTTTGCAGACTCCACATTATTCTTTAGTGCTGCTTAGCATTCCATTATATGCATAGTTTGGTTATCCACTCTTCGGCTATAAATCTTAGAGATAAGTCCCTTGCCAGATATGTAATTATTGGCATATATGAATTTGTTGCTGCCATTTTTGTTATGTGCTTTTTCGTGGTGTCGATTTCTTTGTTCCACATAATTTTCTATGCTGAGCTTGTTTTGT